AGTTATATATTGTTATATAAGAGTATATATATTTATATTTTTATTTGTATATAGATATAAATATATATGAATATATATATATATTGCTATTTATTTAATTTATTTTAAATTTAAAAAAAAAATTGATTTTTTTTTTCATATTTTTCGGATTTTTTTTTAAAAATATGACGTGGCATGCTGATGTGGCAAAAAATCTATGTGGCGTGCCATGTCAGCCGCCACGTGGCATGCCACGTCAGCGGTTAACGGACACTTAACACCGTTTTCGGATTGTGTAGGAAATTGCAGTTAAATCGGGTAGTTCGTGTATCAATTTGGCACATTTGATAATTTGGTGTACTTTTTTGTTAAATTAAAAATTCGTGTAGGAAAAGGTCACATTTTGCAAAGTTGGTGTAGGAAAATGTCATTTTCCCTTTTTTTTATAAATTGACCTAACATTTTAATCTGATTGTTTTTTTTTATCATTCACATTCGTTGTCGGATGACGCCAATCATATTTAAATTTAACAATTTTTGTTTTATTATATTATTTTAATGATTCAATTATGTACTTATACGATGCAAATCCAACCTCCTTGACAAAAAGGAAAAATAAAAACCTATCATGGCAAGTTAAACCGAACCCTCTAGGCCACCCAGACCGTCTAGATTCCCCGTCAGAGTCTCTGACTGGAAAGGAGGGTCTCCCATTCAGCGTCTCAAGAAGAGTATCGTTCTCCGCCTCCGACTCGCCGTGAACCGTTAATTAGCGATTCCGCTCAGTGTTCTTCGTGCTAACGACATAACTTAATAACCCCATTGAAGACAGATTAAGATTAATGGCAATGTACTCTACGACTGTTAAGTCATCATAATGGTAATGTACATAAAACATCTTCAGATTTTGTAACCCACATAATGTAAAGTTAAAAAAAAAGGGATGCATCTTCAGCTGTATATAGCTCCACTCAGTGTTGGCCATGGCCATGGCCTTCACCGTCTGGTTGATGGTTACCATTGTTTGGATCATCTGCTTCTCCATAATGAACCCATGGCAGCATCGACTCAAACAGCACTGCCAATGGGTTCCTATTCGCAACTTCACGTGCCGGCTGTGGAACCAACCTGCCGCCACCCTCATCGATCCCCTCGGCCCCTTGCTCTACCATCCTCGGATCAACCACAAAGTTCTGCAAATTGTCTGGCGGTAGAGTCGGCACTGTATCAGAGTAATCCTGGACCGTCAAATGAGCGTACCTGTCGTGACACGATCAAAACTTTGTTACGCGAAAGTAACCAGCTTTCGGGGATCAGGCCCTTTGTCAAGTTCAGCATATGGATTAAATCGGCTTAATGCTAGGTTCAATTTGTACACTCACTCGTTTTTCTCGGAAGGAAAAGCTTCTTTCCTCACGCAAATCCAGTCCTTGGCGTCGTCTTCGTTCTGTTCCAGTGACTCAATGACCCTCTCAGCAGCACTCCTGAGCAGTTTCTGTACTTCTGGAAGCCTCCATATAAGGTAACTCCTCTCAACGTATATATTAATCAGGTGATCCACGGACGGGATCTTTGATTGATCTGATCGGAAGTAAGAATGCTTCAGTATCTTCGTCCAAGCCTGATCTTTCAGCGGCACCTTTGCCACGAGTTTCTTGAGTACTGCCGGGTGAAGCATCAATGCCTGCTTCATAAGATCCAGAGAATTCGACTTGGGAGTGTCACCAGAAGAAGATTCCATCTTCTCGAGATAAAAACGGGAAATTGCAAGCGAGTACGAGAAATTCGGGAACAGCCACAAAGAGGAATCGGTTTTGTACTCTTCAGAGAACAGCTCCAACCAGGCATATTCCTCTGCTCTTAAAGCAAAATAGTCAACGCAGAACAAAGCCCCCACCGGATTGTCTGAATCCAGCGAAAGCAACAGCTTGCAGACTTCTAACGCGGATCTGTGACAGCCACGTCTATCCATGCTCCTCATGTGGGTGAAAAGCGTTGTAAACAACGGCTTGTTCGTCTCGTGGCTAAATTTTAACTGGCAGTTGCCCTCGAATGGAGTGAACATAGGATGCCATGCACATTCCAACGCGTATAAGCATTTCCCGATAGAATCTGCAGCCATTTGATGCTCGCCTACGAATCTGAAATAATCTGCCATTGTCACAAGTGAATCGAGGTGGTAAGGATGGTGTATTAGGACACTTGCCACGCCGTTCAGATCGTGAATAGCTTGGGCAGCCTGAAATGCATTTTGTGCTTGCTGATATGAGGGTGAGTGGACATATCTGCGTCGAGAAAGTACATATAAGCATAACAGCATTACAAACAGTACATACACCATAGACTTACAAGAAAGGAAACATGTATGTACCCATAATGAAGTTTATACTAGTGATTTTTCAGCTATACCAGGAGAGCTAACATCAATGTTACCTGAAGTAATGGTAGCCATCCTTAGTCTCCAGAAACTCCATCGAGAAAGATCCATCCCAGCGAGTCCAATGCTCTGATGGAGATATCAGAAAAGTCTTCCTGATGTGATGGGTTCCACGTCTTCCTCCACGTATCCGCCCTTGATTGCCTTTCTCGAATGATTTAACGACTTTCGCACCAAATATTCTTCGCAGTTCATTTTCAACATTCAGGTACTTTGGATCTACCTTCAATGCGCATTGGGAAGCCTTTTTGGAAGAACTAGCGCAGGCTTTTGCACTCTGAACCTTTTCTTTCTTAGCATCGGCCCTCTGACCAGTAGAGGCGACATCGTCAAGTGAAAGAGCTTCTAAAGTTTCATCCAAAGAGCTCTCAGTCTTGGCAGCACTAGAAGCGCCCTCCTTCCCTTTCTTCTTTTTCTTTTTCTTCTTCTTCTGTCCCGATGGAGCGCCCGGCTGAGCATTAATATCACTTGGAGGATTATAAATCTCATTCGTCTTCTCATCTGCTATCACAGGCTCTATCTCCTGTAATCCAAAATCAATTTAGACCCATGGGAATTAATTCTGCTATAGCAGGCAAGAGCAACATGGGAATCGCAACTATGGTTTCGAACAAGTGCTATGCAACAAAAACTAATAGGAAACATGTATCAAAGCCCAATTTTGCTATCAGATATTACATATTCCATTGCAGGACTGGATTATGGATCCTTGGAGGTGATAAAAGAAAAGGTTTTTGCAACAATTTTGCTGTCAAGTTCAATAGAACAACGCGAAAACATATCTGTACTGAATTCTAGCTCACACTCTGCCATACACAGAAAAAAACAACACACAGCGGAACAATTCTTCACAAGAACACACGCACAAACACAGCGTTGCAACCTCAAACAGCAGAAAATGAACGAATTTCATTCAATCGCGAAAAATTCTCAGTTTGAATATACAAAACCGGATAGATACGATAATCCGATAAAACCATCGGTCACGAGTATCCACGAAAAGCATCCCTAGCCTACGAAATGTCCAGAATCTGGTAGAAAGACAGACCTTGTTGGAGTCAGAATCTTGGTCATCGTCGTCGAGGAGATCAAACGGGTTAATCAAAGAACGGGCTCCCGTACCAATAGATTCCGACTCATTGAGATGCTCTTCATCATCGTCATCATCAACATCACCGTGACGAATCTGATGTTGCAACCCTTCCTGTTCCTGAAGAACTTTCTTCAGCAATCTCAGAGACATCGTCCTCTGGTTCCTGGCAATCGATTTACGCGGTGGAGCGAGGCGGCGACACCGATTATAGCTCCACGATTGGCTTCCTTTCTCAGCTTTAGGGGAAATGGAATGTAGTCAATTCAAACCGACTCAGTTCCCCAATCCATACCGGTTTATGTTAACCGATTTTTCTCCTTAAACCGGCCCAATGCGTCAAAATTGGACGACGTCGTTTTCTTCAACTTGGGAATTCGCCTTCCTAGGCATCGAGATTATTGAATATAATATATGAAGATATATATATATATATATATATATATATAATGTTACAGAATATGAAGTCCTGATTAAAAAGATATTAATTAATTCCAACCTAATTGTTGCTAATGCAAATCAATTATAAACATTTCTAACAACATCTATATTACAACAATCAAATATAATTTATATATGTAGATAATAGCCTTAAACGATATCACATATTTAATAGAAATGTGTTTACGGAATTTGCCGTAAATACCAAAAATAAAAGAGAGTTCGGTGGTCGAAACGTGATTCATGGATAGGTATCATTTTTAACTTTATAATAAACTTTATAAGATTAAAATCGGCTCATTTGATAAACTATGCAGCATTATATGTGAAGTTGTGATTAAATAAGCATCCAATGCTTTCGGCCAATCTAATTATTGGAGACACCACGATCGCCGGTAAAATTATATCTTTACTTTTACCTAAAAAGTGATTATGATTCCCCTCCCCCACCCCCACACGCTTGTTCATCATTGGCTTCTACGACTTGGTTTATTATTATATTACACTATTATCCGGTTCGAGATTCATTTCATTATATTGTTATCATTAGCATTTGTATTAATCATTATGGTATCTCAATAATGTTATACTTTGCTTCTAATGTAAAAATTAAAATTATGATTTTTTTTATCTTTTAATTCGTTTAGAGAGAAGTATTTATATATTGTGTCGACAACATTATTTACTGTCTACTTTTTATTTCTTGACAAAAGCAAGATATATAAAATGACAATTCTAATTATTGCAGTGATTAATGTGGACCAACACCACATAAGACCCGACCCATCACAAATAAACTTTGTCTTTCGTTCTTTTTATTTATCTGAAGCTTATTATAAATTCATGCATTTCTTCTCCTTCTAGGATCCACCGTTGTCGAGTGTCAAAAGGTTTCCTTGAAGAAAATGGGTCGAAACCTGAAGAACGCCATTGTCGCCTTCCTCGCTCCCCTTCCTTCCATCCTCTTCTACCTCTCCTTTCTCCGCCATTACTCTTCCAACTCCGCTTCCGAGCTATCTTCTATCCATTCATGGTGTTTGAACCACCCACTTCTCTTCGCGAACGCTCTCTTCTTCTTTAACGTCAATGTGCTCTTCTGGGCCATCGGTCTACTCCAATCTAGCCACTGGGTATGCACCCATATGTTTCAAATCGTTAATTTCGGTCGTTGATCTTTGTCTGAAATGTGGGTTTTTTTTTTGTCTGTTTTCGCAGATGATCGATCTGTATTGGACTGTAATACCAGTGATGCTAGTTCATTACTTTGCGGCGCACCCGTTGGCAGAGTACAACCGGTGGAGATCCGCCATTGTTGTGGCTCTGACATGGGTTTGGAGCATAAGGTTAAGTCATAATTACTTACGCCGGGAAAAGTGGGAATGGGGTGCTAGAGAAGACTGGAGGTTCAGTGACATGCGGAAACAGTACGGAAAGCATTGGTGGTGGCTCTCTTTCTTCTCCGTCTACGTTTCGCAGCAGGTAAACATTGCCAGACACCTGTTCGATGAATTGCTCGAACGAGCTTGGTTTTTGCTGCAAAGTTCTATGCTTTTTTTGTTGGTTTGTTCTTCTGAATTATCGCAATGAAGTGGCCATAATGGAAATTTGTGGTGAAAATGGAAAATTCGGTAATCGTTGGAGAGAGAACTCCACAGTAGCCTCGGTGAAAGTCCTAAATGGAAAATATGTGTAATGTCTTTACGAGCAGTTGGGCTAAATTTGAAAACTTTCTGAAAAGGACATAACTTTCTATCCCCATGCTTCAAAAAAGATATTATTTTTCCTTGTCGTTTGCTTGAATCGTTGTGAATTTCCAGTCATATGCTTTGTTTAGTAGCTGCTCAGATCTTGCTTTCTTGATTTCATCTCTTCTGGGCTCTCTATGAATTGCTCAGATCTTCATCATCGGGATATGTCTACCTCTATACGTTGTCCACTCCATTGACAAGCCGCTGAACATATGGGACTTCGTTGCATCAGCGATTTGTGTGGTGGGCATTGTAATAGCTTATTATGCGGATACACAACTCCACGAGTTCGTGGCCAGAAACGAGAAACTCCAAGAGCAAGGAGAACCTAAAGTCCCAAATCTCGACAAGGGCTTGTGGCGCTATTCAAGACATCCGAATTACGTGGGCGAGCAATTGTGGTGGTGGGGATTGGTCATATTTGCATGGAACCTTGGCAAAGGATGGTCTTTTATAGGAGCATTGGTCAACACTCTGTGTCTGGCCTACGTGACCGTCCTTGTAGAGCGTAGAATGCTCAAACAAGAGTACAGAGCTGAAGCCTATAAGCTGTACCAGAAGACAACGCCTGTCTGGATACCATGGTTCAGGTTTTCCACTGGTGTTAAGGAGAAGAACACTTGATGAAAGTGGTTTATCTGTCTGATTATTACGACGATTTAGGATTCTTTAAGGTCCTTAAAAGAAATGTGTTTGGTGTTTCCTGTCATGATGTTTCCATCATTAGTCTTGAAAGATAGTGTTGTGTTGTGTTATGTTCTTTTCCATGACGGGTTGGGTACAAAGCTGTCTGGTGAGCCCTGTAAATTCTCTCTTCATCTGCATCCAAAGGTCTCTCTCTCTCTCTCTCTCTCTCTCTCTCTCTCTCTCTCTCTCTCTCTCTCTACAACAATCTCTGATATGATATTTACTGCTACATGTAATCAATGTTAAATGTGTTTATTAAGTTGAAATAAGTCTGAAAACATTATAAAAAGTAAGCTTATAAATTGATTATACACGTAAGATCAGTATCATCTGTAACCACACGGGAGATTCATCCTTCAATAAACTCTTGTTAAAGAAACTGACCAAGATATTATACAAAAAAAAAAAACTCTGCAGTCTTTTTTCCCATATCATTTCACAACTAAATTTTCTGTTGCTATGGAAATCTCGTAAAATCCGCTGGTAATCTTACCATATATATATATATATATATATATTAAAACCATATGTTAAACAATTAAAACAATATAAGCTTTGGAGATAAAATTGAACGAACGAACAGTACCCAACAACAACAACAAAAAAAAGGATATACCTTGAGAATATATAAAACTAAATCTTATCGAATCCTGAGAGACCTGAAACAACTCAACCCCCTTCTCCTCTGTTTCTTCCCTATAAAACAGGGGACAGCCCGCAGAACACCGGAAAGAAGAACTCGGCTCTGGTTTTCTGCAAATTTTTAGACAATGGAGAGAATTCCCGGAAAACCCTTCTTTGTCTTCTTCCTCCTCCACGCCTCGCTGTTCTGCCTATCTCTCTCTCCGGCGTCGGCCTTCCGCGGGCGGGGGCTGAGGTTCCGACCCAACGGTCAGTTCAAGATCCTGCAAGTGTCCGATATGCACTACGGTTATGGCGCCAAATCGGGATGCCTCAACGTGCCGGAGGAAGAGGAACCCTTCTGCTCCGACCTCAACACCACCGCCTTCTTGCGCCGCACCATCGCCTCCGAGAGACCCGATCTCATCGTCTTCTCCGGTGAAATCTCCATTTCGAACCCTCTCTTTTCGTAATTTCCCTGTCTGTAATTCCCTGTGTTTGGCAGTTCATGTGATTCTTCCCTCGTATCTACTTGAATATCTCGATGCCTTGTTGCGTTTTCTACGTATTATCACTTTGTTTTTTTTTTTAATTATAGATAAACGATTTAAGCATTTGCGAAGAGAGAGAAAATCCCAAAAAAAGCTGATTCTTTTATGCATACGCAGGGGACAACATAAATGGACTGTGCGAGACAATGGACGCGGCCAAGTCGATGAACTTAGCCTTTGCGCCAGCGATCGAATCAAGGATCCCGTGGGTCGCGATTCTCGGAAATCACGACCAGGAATCCGACATGACAAGAGAGCAGCTCATGAGATACATCGTCAGGTTACCGTACACGTTGTCCAGAGTGAATCCAGCCGGTGCTCGGTACTACATCGACGGCTTCGGCAATCACAACCTCGAGGTCCAAGGCCCCTTCGGTTCTCCTTTTTACTTCAAGTCCGTCCTCAATCTGTATTTCCTTGACAGTGGGGACAATACCCATCTCCCTGGTTTCAATTACAACTACGACTGGATCAAGACTTCCCAACAATACTGGTACGAACAGACTTCCAAGTGGCTCGAGGCACAGTACAGGAGATGGCCCAATCCTCAGAAAAGCGCGGCCCCTGGTCTCGCCTACTTCCACATTCCTCTGCCCGAGTTCTGGAGCTTCAACACGTCCAACGCCTCAACAGGGGTGAGACAGGAAGAGACCGGGTCGGCTGTTGTGAACTCGGGCTTCTTCACAAAGCTGGTAGAGCGACGAGACGTGAAGGCGGTTTTCGTGGGTCACGACCACAGAAACGACTTCTGCGGCAAACTCCGTGACATCAACCTCTGCTATGCAGGTGGATTCGGGTAATTGACGATCAAGACTCTGGTTAACGATATCTGTTGTGTTTTCTTGTCACTCAATTCAGTTTCAAAAAAACACGTGTTCTGGTCTCAGGTACCATGCGTATGGACAGGTGGGATGGGCGAGGAGGGCGAGAGTAGTGCTGGCTCAGTTGGAGAAATCCAGGCATGGACGGTGGGGAGACGTGGAGTCCATCACGACGTGGAAGCGGCTCGACGATAAGAACCACTCGGTCGTCGACACTCAGGTCCTCTGGTCCAAGCACAACCGCACCACCGGTACTCATCCACAACACTAAGATGAATCCGTTCTGTCTTTTTTTGGATCGTACAAGTTTGATGACATGTTCTTGTTTTGGGTTTTTGCAGCTTCTGATGAGAAGAATTTTTGGATCGATTGTTCAAAGATTAAAAAGACCACGCCATGAAGTTTTCATGGCTGTTTATGTTTTTTATTTCGCCATGTCGATTTATTTATAGTAAAATCTTGCCAAAGTTTAGATTATGGATCGGATGTTACATTAAATAGCCATAAAGTTTTCAAGCAATATTATATTATTATATATAGTTCTTTAGGTTCTTCACTATGAATAAAGATTCCTTTACTTATAGACTCCATTTTTTTTCTTTTTATGTTTTGAATAAATTTATAGTCTCTATTTGTTCCTAAAGCTCGTCAAATACACAAAAAAAATTCACGTGTTCTAGATGTTGGTACACATGTGTGCGTATGTATATTATGTATGATAAATATTACCATATTCATGTGGGGTGTAACATGTATGGTATAGTTGAAAAGTATGGGGTGGAAATGTGGAAAGTTCTATAATGTGGAGGTCAAATATTGAATTTTTGTATTTATTTGGCACAATGAAACGGCAGGAAGTTTGAAGGGGTATGTAATAGACTACGTGTAGTCGTGGGTTATCATTTCGCGCCGCCGTCACCAAGCGTGGTCAAATGAATAGTTTGATACGTTTGACCAAACGCATACAGCTCTCCGTCCCGTTCAAAATCGAGAAAAATCCCCAAATCTCTTCGATTAGGGTTTTCGTTGTCTCGTGCCACTTGAATCGAGAAATTCCTCTCCCCTAGTCGAGGTGTTATTGATATAGAAATCGATCGATTCTACGCGATGCCATCGTTTTCTTCGTTCTCACTGAGCATTACCTTCGTTTTTCTGGTTATCTGCTTGATCGGCGTGCGATCGGAGAATGACGCGGGATTATCGGCGGAAAAAGCTGGCGATGTCTGTGCGGGGTTTTCGAAGTCGGGTTCATGCCCGATAAATTGTTTCCGGGCGGATCCGGTGTGCGGAGCCGACGGAGTGACGTACTGGTGCGGCTGTCCGGACGCGGCGTGCCACGGAGCCCGTGTCATCAAGACAGGGGCTTGTGATTCAGGTAACGCAGGAAGTGCCTCTGTTCCGGGTCAAGCCTTGCTCTTGATCCATATCGTGTGGCTGATCTTGTTGGGTTTCTCCGTTGTTTTTGGCGTTTTATGATTTGTTTTAGCTTGTTGTAACATGGTGAAATATTGTCACGGCTCTTTGAGATTCATCCCTACTGTAGTAGAGTTTGTATGAACTGGGATACGCATACCATGTACATTGAATTCCTCGTATCGATAATCTGTAACTCGATTCCTCGTTTCACTCGATGGTTTACTTTGTTCTGAATAAAAGCAAAAATTGTCCTGGCAAATGCTTCTGACTAGATTCAGTTGTGGTGTGTTGTGTGAATTGGGATATCTATTAGGGCTTACTGAACAGCGTCAAAGATTGATTACCCAGATTCTCATGTATTTGTGTCTTTATCATCAACACCAAGAACTGAACTTGGAACTGAAATTTTTACCAATCCGTGATTTTTTTTTCTTGAAAGGATCTGTCTTTGTATTTGACAAAAGAAAAAGAATCTGTCTTTGTATTGCTTTCGTAAGATTCAGATTGTTTTACCTGCAAATTACGTTGAACTAAGAGAATCAACCGATCTTTAGCCACACACTATGCAAGTTAAACTTCTCTCAGCCTTCTAGTTGAGCAACTAAGAGAGAGGAAGCTAGAGAACCCCTCGGATGCAAAGTGAAAGTCTTTTTTTCTTTCTTTTTTCGCTTGATCATGTAGTGTGATGACACGCTGCTGGGGTGTAAAATGAACAATGGAAAGGGACAAAAGTACGGCGAACGAAGACTCTGGACAAAAGATGAGACTGTTGAGTGATGGATGAAGGAATCTAGGAGGAAGGTGGTGTGTGTGTGAAAGTGCCACTAAAAATCTTAAAATCTTTTGGTAGTAACTTCTCCCTTAAGCACTTGAATTGTGTATTTCTTTTTTATCAGTATACAAATACGATTAGCTTCGGTCTCCCATTCACAAGTAATAGGAATATACAGGGACATATACAGAGTAGATAATTCGTTATTCTAAGTTCTAGGTTCGTCTTCTCGGGACTTGTGGTAATGGAAACATATGTACAAAATTCTGATAAATGGGACCCACTTTGGGATTCCTTCACATATACTATAAATTAAAATTTTCTCGGCAGCGTGTCTGCTAAGAACCTCAAAACGAGTGAAAAAAACTAAAGGAACCAATAGAAAGCCTTCTTGTTCAGTCTCCTCTTTAAAAGCGATGTCTCACTCTCCCATTTTCCTTCATCGCATCTTACAGTGTATAGTGAAGCTGTGAAGGATGGTTCTGAAATGGGAGATGAAGGGCTTCAGGTTCCGACCGACGGACCAAGAGCTCATCAAAGACTACCTCGACCACAAGAATCTCGGCGACGAAACCCCTGTCCATGAAGCTATAAACGAGATCATCATCTGCAGGTTCGATCCCTGGGATTTACACGGTGAGTGCCCTCTTTCCC